TATATATATATATATATATATATATATATATATATATTATATATATATGTACGTTAGCGTATTAGCAACAGATGCGTACTCTATTCAAGCGGAGTGTGAATTAAGAGAATTCAACGAGCGACGCGTGGCTCTCGAGCATTAATCAGTTAAAACGGAATATTGTCATTGTTTATTTAATCCGACGTGCGTCGTTTTTGCCTTGTTAACCGTTATTTTAAGGCTCACGTGTATATATATATATATATCTATATCTATATCTATATATACATGTATATATATACATATATGTGCGCGCGTGTGTATATTTTATTTTTCAATATCGCATTAAAAAGAAATATATATATATATTTATATATATATACATATATAATAAACATACGGAAAGTTGAAGTTGTTTTGGCGGGAAAACAGTCGGCTGCTACGGGGGCCACACGCGCGGCAGAACGGACGCGCGCTATAGACGTATACAAATCTGTAGGAAGAGAAAAGAGGATTGCTCCGTGTAACGGTAGTGAATTATAAATACAATTTAATTTATTCCGCTTACGATTATCCCTGCGCGTCGTTGCCAGCCGGACGGCTTTCGTTTTTCATTTCTAGCGGGCAAAAACGACGCGAACGTGGCTCGTTCGTCCATGTTCCACCGCCCTCCTCCCTGATCGCCGTGCACGCGTTCGATTTCACGATAATCCGGATCGAGCTCTCTCTAATCGAAACCTGCGAGCGAACTGAAACGAACGGGGGAGAAGAAAAGGGAGGTTACTTGTCACCGAGACGAATTAATATATGTATTACATTGTGAATTTGAAACTTTGACGTTTCGTCTCGTCGTGATTTTCAATGGGCAGAGCATTCTGTCGTCGGACCGTGTATTTCCTTTTCTTTCTGTTCCGTCGTCCTGTCCCGTGGAAACGAGCACTGGATTTCAACGTACCGGAAGCATGTACACTTTGAATGGTCAATTGCGTCACATTTTCTGTTCCCGATTCTCCCTTCGGGGAGGGGAAAACGGGAGGGTTGTTTTCTTTCGAACGAATGCGGGATTATTTGTAAAATAAAGTATTTTGACACGGCTGAGGTATGACAATAAAATTGGCCAAAGTGTATGAGCTGGTTTGATTTGAAACCTAATCAACGGCGAGCAAAACGATGAATTAATAGGATAGTTACTAATACCGTGTTATCGTGCGGGCTCGTTTCATGATGTTTACCCGGGAATCAGCGATACGATGATCGAATGGTGAACCATGATAAGTCGCTCTACGTGGACACGACGCGAGGCTCAGGCACATGTACGATGTAACAATGTAACGTGTATGGTTTACGACACAGAACGACGCCTTGTAACGAGACGAAAATAACGATGCTGTATAGGATTGATTAAAGAGAAGGCAAATACAATTTCGTTTATATCAAAGGGGACGAACTTTTGGAATGAATTAATCCTTATTGGTTGCTGGGATCGATTGACGGTTTCGATAGCTTTGACAAGTTGGATTTGAGTACATGAACGTAATCTGTATTAATCTATGGTTTGAAGACGTGGGATAATGTCACGTGTTAACGAGTAATGGAAATGTATTAGATATTGAAAGAATATTTAAGGGAAGAACTTGTCGATGCTTCGTGTTTTGGAATCGTTTGACGTATGTCACTCTGAAGAGTGACAGGTTATGTTCTCAGTCATGGGATTCTCGAATGCTATGAGAATAAACGATAAATGCTGACGGGAATTCGAAAATATTACTTTATGCACTTGTTTGTTTGTATTAACGATTCAGGAAATTTTGTGGAGATCGGGTGTACACCTACTGTGACACGTATACATACGTAAGCGTACTTTCTTTTGCCATCTATGATTTGTCTGGAGCAAACGCGTGTACAGTGACATCATCGTGTTTGAGAAACATATTCTGTGTGCGATATAGAGTCGAATTTAATTCTAACAATGGATCAGATCGAAGAATTACAACGTCGAATAAAGGAGCTGGAAAATGAATTGTTGGAGGAACAAAGCAAAAACATGTTATCAACCAGAGAAAAGATAGAACATATGTCAAGTGAAGTGGTTGATTCAAACCCTTATAGGTAATTTTCTTCTTTTTGATGTTTGTTCGTTGAATAATTTAAAGCAGGCAGGAAATGTTAATATTGTTGTACTTTTCTGATCAGTCGGCTAATGGCTTTGAAGCGCATGGGAATAGTGGACAATTATGAAAAGATAAGGGAAATGTCGATAGCTATAGTTGGTGTAGGTGGAGTTGGAAGTGTGACTGCTGAAATGCTCACGAGATGTGGCATAGGAAAGGTATCTATCTGCTTTATACATGTTTAAAGATTGATAATCCTTAATTTTTTAATCAGCAAATGTTATAAATTCTAGTTAATACTGTTCGATTATGATAAAGTGGAGATGGCAAACATGAACAGACTCTTCTTTCAACCACACCAGGCTGGTCAAAGTAAGGTAGAAGCAGCAGCGAAAACATTACAATACATTAATCCTGATGTGAATATTGAAACACATAATTACAACATTACTACTGTGGATCATTTTGATGATTTCATGAAAACCATAAGGTAGAGGGAATGACACACCAAAGATTAGAAGTTTACATACTTACAGAGTAAATTTCATTTTTAGCTCATCCAGTTTAAGCAAAGGGCCGGTAGATTTAGTACTAAGTTGTGTAGATAACTTTGAAGCACGAATGGCAATTAATACTGCCTGTAATGAGCTAAACCAGAAGTGGTTCGAAAGTGGAGTCTCTGAGAATGCTGTTTCTGGACACATTCAGTTTATCATTCCTGGAGAGACTGCTTGCTTTGCGGTGAATAGAAATCATAATCAAAATATGAATGTATCTTCAAACTCGTTAATTACTTCTCTACTAGTTCCATATCATTTTTAGTGTGCCCCTCCATTGGTAGTAGCAGAAAATATAGATGAGAAGACACTAAAGCGGGATGGCGTTTGCGCAGCTTCTTTGCCTACAACCATGGGAATTGTAGCTGGATTTTTAGTTCAAAATACGTTGAAGTATCTTTTACATTTCGGTGATGTGTCTTATTACTTGGGTTACAATGCTATGCAAGATTTCTTCCCTAAAATGACATTAAGGCCGAATCCAAATTGCGACGATAGATATTGCAAAGAACGTCAAAAAGAGTACGCATTAAAACCGAAACCCCAGCTAAAAGAAAAAGAAATCATAGAAGATAAACCATTACACGAAGACAACGAATGGGGTACGACAATAATATAAAGGAAATGGTATCAGAAAAATAAATGGTCATTAATTTAATTGATGTGATTTTACTATAGGAATTTCACTCGTCGATGAGCAAGATCAACAGGTGGATGAGAACGAGCGTCCAGCGTTTATGGGAGTGAGGGAAGCTCACAGTTTACCGTCTCGTTCAAACGATTCGCAGAACCATGATATGCCAACCGAAACAGGCCCAAGTCTAGAGGAACTTATGGCTCAAATGAAATCCATTTGAATTTCATTTAATTCGCATTCGAAGGATTTCTTTGGCTTTTACATATAACTTGAGTAACATCAAGTCTACACTTCTACTATGGGAAACAGTGAAATAAAACGCAGATTCACAATGAGATAATACTCTATACACTGTATCTTGAGAATAGAATGAGCTAATATTTGTACATTTGTCAGAAATTTCCCATAATATGTTTTGGTTGTGATTAAATTTTTATTCAAGAATATCACAGTATTTATTGAACTCTTCCAACCAGATACTCTGAACTATCAATTCTGACTTATCACCTCATCAATTAATAAATAATCATTTTCTGCGTCGATATCATGGCGTCATAATTATTCAGTTTCCTGTTCAATTAAGTATTTAATGTTAAAAATTGTAAAATGCATTTAATGAAGGAACAAATTGCGCGCCAAAAGTAAGTTTTATATTCCACCGTGAAAGGCGCCACTGTCCATTAAATCACATTTTCTTTATAAAACAGAATTTTAAATATTAATTAAAACCTTCACCAGTGGTAATTACTGCTGATGATTATCCATTCTCAGGATATCAATAGATAATTTACCTTTATTCAGAAGGATATTCAATCGCAAGTAGCTTAATACTTTACATGCAGAAACTTTATGTTAAGTTTACTAACACACTGTATAGTTTCGTGTTCCCGCTATATCTGTCAATTTGAAAAGTTCGGTTAAAGTTTGTCGGGTGCCAGTCGAAAAACAGGCGATCTTTAGGAAGAAGCAGAGATATTCTGTATTTTATAATAATACGAGTTTGTAGAATTTTAAACCAGTGAAACTTACAGATATCCGGATGGATGAAAGCTTTAATCGGTGGCGCGATTCGCCTTCTAAAAGGGAAATGTCCTTAGTTATTTCTGACAGCGAGGAAGATGTTGAAAGTGTGGGTAAAGAACAAATATTTGTTATCGAGAGCAGTGAGAGCAGCATGAATGTTTCTGGAAGAGCAACCCCGGATGTGTAAGCAAGTGCTTTCAGTTTTCTTATTACGCCGGCGGTATTTTTATAATTACGTTTGTTTTTAATTATTTTAGAGACATTGTACCAAAGAGATCTACTTTATCGGAACGTCTTATTAAACAAACTATTAGAAAGCATATGCCTTATTATTCCGACAATGATAATGAGGATGATGGTGATGATGATGATGATAGCCATAGAGATGATGATGATGATTATGAAGATGATAGCCATGGAGATGATGATGATTCTAATGATAACAGTGACAGAATTGGTATGGATCATATCTTTTACAAGGTAATGAATTTTGAAATAAAATAGCTACATTATAAATTAATTGTTTTATAGAGGAGACTGAAAGAGATAATGCAATGGTTATCAAGCAAGACAGGTTTCAAAACACCAGAAAGAAAAACTTGAATGACTCTGAATCCAGTGCTTCTAGTGCATACGAGATTGGGTCTAAGGATAGTTCCATAATAGAACAAGTCAATGATGTTAGCATGCATTCATCAGACATAGAGCCAAGAGATCAACATAACTCTTTAAACAGTAAGTTCAATACAGCTAGCAGTACATTCCAGATACAATTCTTTACAGACAGTTTATAGAACTACTTTAACTTGATTCTAGATGTTACCATGGATGAAAAGAATAGTTCAGAATCAGAAGTTGCAATATCATTTGCAAAACAGGAGATTGGAGTTGGTAATATAGATCCACTTGTCGCACAAAAAAGAGCTTTACTAGTTTTTAAGATGGAGAAGTTAGAGAAGCAGCTGGCACAGGCAAAAGTAAGTTCATTCCTTTGCAGAAGACACGGAGAAGGCGATTTTCAATTTGACTACCTATTCATTTTATTTTTCAGTTATTATTACAAGCCGGTAACATTGACTTGTTACCAGACAAAGGCGAAAGAATACGCGTGAGTATCGCGAAGCAAGAAAAAGAGATTGAAGAAGTTGCAATTGAACTGGCAAACACTCCTCTGACGCAAAAGTTTGAAGCAAACCAAAATCCTGTCAAGCAAGAACTGATGGTCGTTAAAGAAGAGTTCAAATTTCCAGATGACTGGTATTCCAATAAGGCTGATTCCTCCTACAATGTAGACATTATACCAATGCAACCTACATCGTCTCCAGATAAGAAGGAACTCGGTAAAAAGGCTCAAGCGACTCTGGACAGAGAGTTAGCGTTGACGGTCGACAGATTACAAGACTTACACGGATCTTTGATCGCGAGGCCATCGGAGGAGGAAAGGGCGGAAGATCCGCGAGGGTTGAAGGTCAAGTTAATGCCGCACCAGCAACACGCGTTGGCATGGTTGTTGTGGAGAGAGCAACAGAAACCTCCAGGCGGTGTGCTCGCCGATGACATGGGTCTGGGTAAAACATTGACGATGATATCACTGATCATAGCGAGCATTGAACAGAAGAAATTGAAGGACTCAGACGATGCCAGTGACGACGAGTGGACGGACAGCACGACGCCGTTGCGGCACAAAGGTGGCACGTTGGTGGTTTGCCCAGCGTCTCTGTTGTCACAGTGGGACAAGGAAATCAGTAGTCGGTGCAAGCGTGGTATGCTTTCGGTCGAGGTGTACCACGGTACCAATCGGGAAAGTGTTCCAAAGAGACTGGCGAAGAACGACGTGGTTATCACAACGTACAACATATTGACTCGTGAAGTGAAATCAAGAACTACGGTGTACAAGATCCGATGGGAGCGCGTGATATTGGACGAAGCACACATCATACGCAATCACAAAAGCCAAGCGTCAGAAGCAGTGTGCTGTCTAGCAGCGAACAAACGTTGGGCTCTAACCGGCACCCCCATTCAGAACAAGGAGATGGATTTATACTCTATACTAAAGTTCCTGAAGTGTTCACCCTTCGATGACCTACGTGTGTGGAAGCGGTGGGTGGACAACAAAAACGCAGCCGGTCGCCAGAGGCTGGCAACCGTGATGAAGACTCTGATGTTACGCAGAACAAAGCAGGAGCTGCAAGCCAAAGGTGCCCTGGGAAGCTTGCCCGACAAGTGCGTAGAAGAAGTGATGGTGAAGCTCGACCCGCAGGAGCAGTTGGTCTACGAAAAGGTTCTGATATACTCTCGCACGTTGTTCGCTCAGTTTCTGTCACAAAGAGCCGAGAAAGATCACATGTACGACTTGGCTTCTGGAAAGTATGACAAACCAACGTTCCTTTCTAATCCAAGTACGTCTACAGTAAGACACAGACTCCTCATTGTACCTTCTAACGTCAGAATCCTTTAAACATTCACGATTCCTTTGCAGATAAGGACACACAGTTCACAAAAGCGCAGAACAGATTACTGTCGATGCACGCCGACGTCAAGACCCACGAAATTTTGGTTCTGTTGCTGAGACTGCGGCAAATCTGCGTTCACCCGTCGCTGATCCATGCGATGCTGGACCAGGAGGACATGAAGGAGTCCGGGATCACCGAGACGGAGAATATGGACCCCAAATTGATCATGCAGATGAACGGTATATCGCTGACGGATCGCGAAGAGGACGAGGAGAATGAACAAGAAATAGGGATCGACCGCAGGGTGGTCGCCAATTTGCTCACGTCCACGAACCCAGTCTTCCAGACTGACCGCGCGAGTTCCAAGGTGAGTGTCATTTTACAAAATATGGGAAGACAATCGTTCCAGTATTATGTGATTATTACATGATGTCTGCACGCAGATGAAAGCAGTGCTCGGCACAGTGAAGGATATTTTACAAAAAGGCGACAAACTGATAATCGTCTCGCAGTGGACAAGTATGTTGAACATCGTTGCATCCTATTTGCCTTCGCTAAAGGGCGCCAGCTTCAACATGTTCACTGGCAACGTGCCGATCAAGGAGAGACAGGTATTTCTCATTAATTATCGGTTCTCGGTGTGCGATGGATACTTTGGGATCTAATTCGCGTTAGGGAACTTTCTAGGGTATAATGGACGCCTTCAACGAGCCGGAGTCCGACCCAAGGATACTGCTACTGTCGCTCACCGCGGGAGGCGTCGGATTGAACCTCGTCGGTGGCAATCATCTGCTGTTGATCGACATCCACTGGAATCCGCAGTTGGAGGTGCAGGCGCAGGACAGGATTTACCGCTTCGGCCAAACGAAGAATGTCTATATATACAAGTTAGTGCGGCGATAATTCTATCACGAGGCTAACGAGACTCGAGTTACAAGGGATAATTTATTCTGCAGGTTCATCTGCAAGGACACGATCGAGGAGCGCATCAAACGCCTGCAGGAGAAGAAGATGGAGATAGCGCAGAACGTCCTGAGCGGCGACAAGAACTCGGTGGTCTCGAAGCTGAGCCTCAACGATCTCAAATCTCTGTTCGCTCTCTAAAGTCTAAAGCGAATCATATACATATATACATAGTAATATAAAAATATAACGGTAAGGTACACTAGTTTCCAATGCACTCCGCCTATCGATGCAACGTGATGTACAAACAGTCCTCGGGAATTTTTATTAATGAAAATATAAAATGCGAGAAGGGTGTATCACGTTAATTTGGAGAATCCCTCGGTTTTCCACGACTCCTCGTTACCGTCGTTCTCGGCCTTCGCGTGTTTCCTCTGTCTCATCTTGCTGTGCCGAACGCCGTAACAGAAGTATATGCTAAGTCCTACAAGATAGAACATAATTATTCATTCTTCCGCCGTGATTCTTCTGCAACTCCGTTTCCTTCGCGCGTGCTCACCTACTAGCATCCATATCAGGAACCGCACCCACGTCATGATGTCCAGCATCAGCATCAAGTACACGTTGATGATGATGCTGAGCGCGGGCAAAAAGGGCACCAACGGAACCTGCGGATTCGCGTGTCAAAGTGCGCTTCAAGACCATAGACCCACGTTAAAGTACTCACCGAGAAGGCTAGCTTCTTCCCGGAAGTCGGCTGCTTGTAGATGAACTGGAGGACGAGTAACAGAGCGGCCACCAGGACCGTCAGGGGCACGACGACTGCGGGCGTTCCCTTCGCGACGTGGTCGGAGTAGAACGCGAATATCACGCCGATGCAAATGCTCAGGACAACTGCGAGAAGATAACGGTGATCAGTTGTGAGAGCGAACCATGGAAGAACAAACCACTGAAGAACAAACGGTCCTCACGGTAGCAAACGACCAGGTACGTGACGATTCGCGACGTCGACCTCGTCGCGTGTTTCAGCCCGTTGGCGTTGATCAGCTGCTTCAGGACGAACGCCACCGTCCTCGGGTCGCGGTCCTCCTTCTTCTCGTACGCCTCGCTCTCCTCGTACCTGAAGCAAGAGCCGAGCCAGCTGAAGAACCGACCATCGCGTGGAGCCTGGACAATCTTACCGGAGTATCAGCACGCAGGTGGCGACGATCGAGTAGGCGAGCAAGGTCCCGATGCTCATCATGTTAACGAGCTGCGTCAGCTCGAATATCGCAGCCAGCACACCTGCAAAGATCAGTGTACTAACCTAGGGAACTTTCAGGAAAAGGGGACGGTGCCAACCTGTGAGCAGTCCCGCGGAGAAGGTGCCCATGAGAGGAGTGTGGAACCGCGAGCTGATCCTCCCCATCCACTCGAATATCAGGCCGTCGGACGCCATCGCGTAGATGACTCGCGGCAGCGGGAACATGGCGCCTAACAGGCTGCAACGGTGTGTAAGCGTTCTGATCATCTGAGAGACTGATTGATAAGATTCATGAAATCAGTCAATTTACCTGGAGCACAGGCCGCAGATGGCACCTATGGTGACGACCCACTTCGCCCAGCTCCAGCCGATCTTCTCGAACAAGTAGGGGAACGGCGCGTCCGGGTTCTGCTCGTAGTAGGGGAGGACGGTGGTCAGCACCGTGGAGACGCCGAAGTACGCCAAGAAGACGACGGTCAGAGAGGCGACGATCGCTATGGGGATGGACTTCTGCGGCTCCTTCGCCTCCTCGCCGGTGGTGGCGACGCAGTCGAAGCCGATGAACCCGTAGAAGCACGTCGCGGCGCCCGTTATGATGCCCGCGACGCCGTACGGCGCGAATCCTCCGCTCCCGTAGTCGCAGCTGTCCTCCGTGCACGGAGGCGTCGTTTTCCAATTGTTCACGTCAGCTGTTGAAGTACGTAGAGATTAATCAGAATACCGAGCCACCCGTTTCATAAGAAGCTTGACTGTGGATGACGAGGTTACCTTTCAGCGATCCAGCGATGATCACGAACAAGACCACCAGCAGGTTCACCAGGGTGAAGAAGTTGTTCGCCACGGAGGACTCCTTCGCGCCGAAGGCCAGCGCCGCTGAGGACAGAGGAAATCCAGATTAACCTACATGTACTGCCATAAAGGCCTATGGAGGGCCCCCATGGGCACGGGATTGAGATGTCGCTCAATCAGCGGAGGCCGAAGCCCTACCAGCGTAGCTTCCCGGGGATGACGAGCCCCATGGAAGTAGACTGTTGGTAGCCGAGTTACCTTTCCAAAAACTCTACCAGATTTCCTGTCTGGTCCAGGAGCAGGTGGGACGCTGCTCACGCGCCGAGACCCTCGAAAGGTCTCTGCCCAGCATGTAAGCTTCAACCACTACGAATCCGACACCAATTGCACCGGCCGAGAGGACCCGGGGACAAGCACCCATGGTACGCTCTCTGCGAGGGGACAAGGGGACCGTAGTACCAATCCAATCGCAGGTCTATTGGTAGGACCTGTCCGGCTTCTTACATACAAGAATAAGCTTTGCCTGCCATGTCAAGGTGTCTCGTGCACACCAAGGGTTAGTTAGACCCTAGCTAAGGACCCCAGGATCGCCACACGGCCCCTGGGAGGCGCCGCTGAGGACATCGGTCTCCGACTGTTGGACTCATTCGCGGAGAAGGAAATACTGAGGAGAATCTCTTACCGGAGAAGATCAGGGTCACCCCGAAGGCGAAGAAGTCCGGGTAGGATGACAGGTGGCTGACGTCCATGTGCGCAGCCGACTCGAACGCGTTCCTCATCGAGTTGTTGAACAGCGCGTCCACGTAGGTGCTCAGCCCGCGCACCACGCTCGCCGAGCCGATCACGTACTCCAGGATCAGCGTCCAGCCGATCAAGAAGGCCGTGAACTCGCCCATGGTCACGTAGCTGTAGACGTACGCCGATCCGGCGCGCGGCACTCTCGCCCCGAATTCCGCGTAACAGAGACCTAATCATCAGGGTCACAATTAAGGTCGGGACACCAGTTAAGGTCTGGCTCAAGCTTTCGCCTGTACTCTGATTTCGTGGTCTACCTCTTAGATCCACTTGGATCTCTGCTTCTTAACCAGATGAAATTTTCATGTTTGGAAGACTAAGTCAGCAAATGATTAATTACTCGAGTAGCAAGAGATCACGTAGTTTCCTATTTTTCTATTGCTCAAGTAATTGATATTTAAGCTTCACCTGTTGAGGGTTTTGTATATTTCAGAGAAAGGTTAATTTTTACCCTTAGACAAAGAATCTTCCAAGTAGCAAACCTGCAGATTCTGCTAAATCACCTAACGGTCAAGTAATAGAGAATCAAGCTACTGATCTCTTACTGTCTGAATACTGAAATCATTGGTTTGCAGTGTGCCAAACATAGAAGCTTCATCCAGGCAGTCATTCGTCAAAGGGTTAATAGAGCCTCTTCTAACCGTACAATTCCAACAAACAGATGCAGACAATACGTCTACTAGACGAAGCCTTTGGAGGCCAGTGGAAACAGACGCAGTGATCGGTGTCCGGCGGTCGACCAATTGCACCGCCACGTGATCAATCACTGGTCAAACGGACCAGGAGAACGTGCCAAGGTTTGCTCGGAACACGTTGCACTTAACGAACGAAATGGCGGTGAACTTGGCGAGCAGGAATCTACTAGGAACAGTACCTGCGAACATGGACGCTATCGCGGCGATAGCGAACGAGACGACCACCGCCGGCCCAGCCGTCGTTTTCGAGACCGACCCGGCAAGGACGTAGACACCGACGCCGAGGGTCGAGCCGATTCCCAGCGCTGTCAGGTCCAGCGTGGACAGACACCTCGCGAGCTTCGTGTCCTGGCTGGGGCCGATGTCCTTCTTCCGGACGAACGCCTTCAGCAGACTGCCGAACTTCCAGGACTTCATATTGTACAGCTGAAAGAAAACGCGATGACTTCTAGCTAGAACCGATCGCGATCCCGGTTTTCGAACCAAGTGTCCCCCAGGTGTTCGAGTCCTCTTCGATCTCACCTTGTACAGAGTACTCAACGACGAATCCATTTCGATGCCGAGTTGTTTAGCGAGCACGCTCAAACCGACTGGACTTGTTAACGTGGCGAACGTGCAGGCTTCCGACCGAAGCGACGCTAATTAAAATGCCTTCAAATCAAGCTCGAGGATCGACCGACGAGTACGATTGAACCGTTCAATTGGCCGGGATCGTATCATCGCCCCGCGACTAGATTAGAGCCGACCAGTGTCGCCTGTATCGGCCGTGTGCTCGTAATACGCTTAACTAGCGCGGCCGAATCGGGACCGTCGATCGTTAATCCTCGCTGATAACTTTATCGGTATCGTAATCGAACGGAGATCAATTGTGTTTTGTCCGAATGCTTTCTGTGATGGTAGGTAGAGAGCAGCTCTCATGTGTTGAGTTGATCCGGAAAGTTGAGCAGTCACAAGGGCAAGGGGAGACGTCCAATAATGGCACCGGGTCGTTGCGGGACAGTGGCTTAGTTTCGCCATGTTTTTCTTTTTCAGAGTCGTATCAGCTTTTTATCTTTTGCGATTCCAGGGAACAGATTCTCAGCTATGTTTCATGGAAAGACTGAGCTACCGATTTCCCTTGCTCCTGTGACCTTTTGACTCATACCAGAGCTGCACTGTACCTTCGCCTTTTTAATTTGTTCATGGATTAACCAGTAGTCAAAAGCTAGGTTTGAAGATAGTTATTTTAACATGTTGAATGTCATGGGTCAAGGTGACCCCCAACTATATTGAATCACTAGTTCACTCAATTAAAGGATGGATATTTGAAAACATTTCTATGTTATGAATAATACTATCTAATGTGGAGACATTTAACCAGATGAACGTGCAATTATAATAATGCAATTCTATCAAATGATTTAATATATTTCTTTCATTTTGTGTATTTTACTGTAGGAAATCGTGCGGCATTCAATGTGTTAACTAATTAAAATAATTGTAGTTTCAATTTGTATGTGCAGTGGGTCCTAGAACAATTTCAGCAAACTTATAGAGTACTGCACTAAAAATGTTTCTGTTCGGAGAAGGAACGAGTCAGACGATTTCAATCGTCCAGCTGTTGGGTCGTTACCGATTTTATGGCGTGTACAGAACTCGCAGATACGCTGAGGTGAAAGAGAACTGGGACGCTTGATTTACAATTCACCGTTTATCGCTGGTTCGAATGTTTCAGCTGATATTGTATCGCAGAATATTTTTATGGTTATAATAGGAAAAGCGGTGTGTACTTACTTCACAGTAATGAACCACGTGAATTCGTTTTGAACACTGTTACATTAAATGCTAACTGCTTTTTGTTCTGCTTATCTGTGAAGATATCTGTAATAATCATATAAACCGTTTAATCCGCCATAAATGGATTATGCGTTCCCCAGATTAGAAGCGTGAAAAGATAGCTTTTCAATGTGTTCCAAAATCGAAGCCTTGCACTTTACTCTGGTTAATAACTCCGGTTAAAACGCTTACCGTGAAACGTGCAGGAGAGTCGACGAAGGCGTGTCGATTATAAAAAAGTGGACGTTTATTTAAAAAATAAAGAAAACAATGTGTCGTCTATAGTATGGCTATTACTTATAGCCATAACAATAAATATAAAACATTGGCTATTCTGTATACTTTGCGTTAATAAAATATATAAAACATTTCTTGGACGGATTGAAGGAATATCATTGCTGCTTCGATCGCAGTCAGAGATTAGATCCACCTTCTCCTAATAGATCCACCTTCTCCACTGGTGCTAGGCGATCCTGATGTACACGAATATCGAGAACGTGACCACTATTATCCAAGAAGGATGCAACTTCTCAACGCCGGACTGAATTCGATAAAGAGAATGGATAGATCAGTGCGACTGTCTTTAATCCCAGAATATTAACTCTTGCTGGAATGGTTACTTACGAAGGCATAGTAATTGCATTTGTCTCCTTGACAGCAATCCGAACACTTCCAATCTTGGTACCATATATACGTACAATCAGCCATGTTCGACTGCTTTATCCTTTCGCACTCCTTCCTGGTGGAGCACCTCTTGGATACGTAATACTGTTTCTTCGCGCCCTGCGACCAGTACGGTGTGCCTAGAACCAACAGACTCCTGCAGGGACTGTGATGACAGTTTGTTGGAAGATGTAAACATAACCTCATCCTCAATGTTTACAATACCATAGAACAAACATTTAAAACTTACTTCCCCATTTGATCTCTGTGAAGCAAGCATCCTGGCCTTGCTCGCAAGTTTTTGTGCTTCTCAGACACTTTTCCCTGTTACCTTCCTGATTGGTACACACATAACATTCCAGGGCGTGGCCTACAAACATCAATGAATTAAATAAAGAGCCTCGACGAAAGAAACTGGTATTTGCGACACCTACTGAACGACAGGTAACACGAGACAATCAGTATCGCGCAATATTCGGACAGTCTCATTTTAAAGGACAATTCACGTTTTGAAAAAAGAAGAGGCGCACAGGCGTGCTGCGAGTAACGCGACACTCGTTTAAATCGAATCGACGGGCCACGAGTGAATTTTCGTCGGCGTCGGTGGTGGCAGGACTGAAACTTTGTTACCGTCCGTGGAACACAATCGAGGATGCAAGGGCATTTTAAACGAGCGTCAAGGCGACCGTCGACGCGACGGTTAACGTTTCCCCGATATAAATAAATAAATAAACAAATTTCGAACGAAATCGATCGCACCGACGAACGATCCGTCCGTCGAGCTTCCATCGATCGATTCGATCGAGAGGAAATCGACGCGGTCGGATCGATCGATTCTCTTCGATCCAATCGAAGCTCGGTTCGAGTAACGGCGGAGTAAACGGTCGCGACAGGTTCGTGCATGCACGGTCTCGTTATTAAAAATAGCTTCGAGATATTATTGACCCGCGCGTTGGAACTTGGATTACAAATTTTCCGGTTGACCGGCCTAGATCGTATCCATTCGGATTTTACCAAGTCCTTAAATCTCGAGCTCACGGAGACTGCGAAGACGCGGCTTCCCAGCCGGCCATCGACGCCTTTGAACCCGTAACGTTTGCTTTTCTTTCTAAATCAATTTTTCCAAAGCATTTCTCCGGGACGAGTCGATTCTTTTATCGACGCAGGCTCGGTGATCGTTAGGATATAGTGAAGGAAAGATCGGATGGGAGAAACAGGATAATGTTTAACAATAATCCTACCATGTGACTTTGAGTGACATTTGAACTTCTTACTGAAATTTTTTCGTTATTTCATATTGCATTTCCAAAAGTTTCTTTGGCCTTTTAAAATTTGGGCCCCAGAAACAAAAATAATGACATTTTGATCATTCCTTTCATTCCATTTCCAAAAGTATTTTTGGGCTTTTAACATTTGGCCCCTAGAAACAAAAACAGTAACATTTTAATCATTCTTTTTATTCCATTTCCAAAAGTTTTTCTGGGCTTTTAAAATTTGGACCCTATAAACAAAAACAATAACATTTTAATCATTTATTCTTATTATTGACTGAGTCACATCGTGGTACGATTCGTTAAAAAAACACGTGGTGCGATTACAGTTAATAAATAATTTCAGACATGCCTGTCCAAAGGATATCGCGTTGTATCGAACGTCACGAGGAGATCGACGATCGATTATGTCGGTTTCGTCTCCAAGTTCAAGACGCACGGATGAACCACAGGAGAAAATTGGTGAGGCTGTTCCTAAATTTCGGGTAACTCGTATTTTTTCGTTTTCGTGGCTAATGGACATGATAAAAAATCTCGGACATTCTTCCTGTAACAGGTCACACGTTGACGAGCTTCGATTGCACGGATGTATCATGGGATGATAAATTGACTGGACCTGTAACAGGTTATCGGTGCAGTATGCCTTTCTCGAAATGACTTATCCAAAGTGAAGGTAGGAGGATTCAATTTCTGAGTAAAGAGATAATGAGGATACACCCTAAAACCTCGCATTTTACTATTGAGTGATTAACATGTTGAATGCCATATGGGTCACTGGTGACCCTCGACCAAATGGAATTATTATTGTTCACTCAATGAAACGATTATTTGAAAACATTTCTGTTATAAATGATTTGATGGAATAACGTTGTTATTATTGCACGTTTATCTAGCTGAATGTCACTGTATTAAGTAGCATTATTTATAATAATAAATATAGTATCTAATACTATATTTTTTCCATTCTATGTAGTTTGCTCTGTGAAATCGGCGTTCAACACGTTAGTATCTTACCTCATTGTTTCATTATATCATTCTTAGTAAACTGCGGATCCTTATGCAAATTTCTGAGAAGGTCCTAAGGACCAAAAAACTCTACAATTTGGATGTTTCAAACATCTTTGTACATGGAGTGTATTCATGGAATCCTGCAGTCCCAAGTTTCCATGAATGCATAGGGATCAGCAGTCTAATTAGTAGACTAGAAATAAGACCGTATGACCGATATATCCTGACCGTTAACAGGTTACGAGTGAACAGCCGTCAACGACGTCGGGAGATGCCGCATCGCGTGATTTGGGAGAAGAAGAAGAAGAAGAAGATGAAAGGAGGGTCGTCGAGGAGGCACGAGGAAGTTTGAAAAGCGCGTCCGAAGGGGAAAGTTGGACGGAAAGAAAGGAAGAAAGGAAGGAAGAAAGGGTGCAAGGGATGAGGAAGGTAGCGTAGCTGGTGCAGGCGGTAGCTGTGCTCCTCTCTCCTTCTAATTTGAACTCTCCCTCGGGGTTTCAGTGAGGTCGCGTGTGTTCGCTCGCTTGCTCGCTCGCTCGCTCGCTCGCTCGCGGCCGTCGGATGTCGATATTCTAGTGCGCGGCGCAGGCTGAGCAGTGGCAGTGTCGAGCCACTGCGCCGAGAATCTAAAATTATCGGTCGCTTCGAGAGGAGGAGAACTGGATAGGTGTGCGTGCGCTACACGCACGCGTGCTTACCTACGTGTGGGCACACACGGTAGGAGAGCGGGGAGAGACGGAGACATGGCGAGTAGCGACGGTAGCTTCATTCAGGGGGGAGGAAAAAATGAGAAGAGTGGAAGAGAGAGTCAGCAAGACGAAGAGGGACAGAGAGAAGATATAGAATGATGATGATGAGAACGGAGAGGAGGAGCAGTAGTAACACGCGGAGGAGGAGGAGGAG